ACTGCATGATCCTGGGCCTGGATTAAACTGGGTCTTGCTGGGAGCCTGTGAAGCCTCCCAGGGAAGGTGTGCATATTTTCACATCTGGCTCCTGTGTGCTAGTTTTGTCCTCCAGAGGGAATAGGTGCAGAGTGGGATATAGGGCAAAATCAAAGCCTGAAATGGAGGCCAGCTGTTTGCATTTCAATTTGGGCAGTTGAGTAATTTAGAGCAGTCCCAGAACAAACACGTATAGCTCAGGGTAGGGTGTTTGGGAGGCAGGTAGTGATCTACAGAACTGGTTAAAGGATTAAAGAAATGGATTTGGGGGTTTACTTCTTGCTCAAGTCCCACTGCCCCAGGAGGTGCTCCAAGTGGGCAGGCTCCATGCTTTGGGTCCTAGCCTGGAGGTTACTCAGTACATGTGGGATCCAGCCGAAGGTTTAGCCCTCTGATGTGAGAGCAATGATGGAGCAGCTAAGACGTGTTGCTTTGTCTCCAGAGGCTTGAGTTTGAGCTGTGCTGTCTGCAATTTGTGCGAAAGGTTTCTTACACCAAACCCAGCTGTGGGCGATTCTGGCTGGGGAACTGAACGTCAGAGAGGTACCACTGCAGCTGCAGGAGCCTCTCTATATTCCTGGCTATAGACACTGCTGTCTCCTAACTCTGTTACCTTGAGCTGCCTTACCTGAGCTGTGTGAGCTTTAGAAGGCCCATGGGTTGGATGTGAGCCATGAGTCTGGTTTGTAGTGCTCTGGGTTTGGAGGTGGAGGTTTTGGGGTTTGGGTGAAAGTTTGTGGGTTTGTGATGCAGTTCCTGGGGCGGCTGGAAATGGGTGACAAGGACATGGAGTCCAGTTCAGGTTGCCCGTTGAGGTTTTGCTTCACTTTCTGGCTCTTGATATAGGAAGATACCAGGGAACTGCAAGAAAAGGAGTTCCCTTGCTGTGTGTTGGTGTGTGGGAGTTGGTTCCCGGGGCAGAGTACGCTGCTGCCAGTGAACGAGGGGATCTGAGGGAAGGCGAGGAAGGAAAAGCAGAGGCCAGGAGGAGAGGCAGTGCAGGACCCAGATGGACTGCTCCACCCAGAGAGGGATCCCATCCCTGCGAACCTGCACACAGCCGGGGCTGCACGCAGCACGTGCACACTTACCGTAGTTTGGTGCTGTACTCATAGCACTGCTTTCACAAGGATGCTCACTCTGCAGGGGGGTGGTAGCACCCTGGTGTTGCACGGGGGTGTAAAAGCCACCACACACACGCACAAAACAATCCACAAAGGACACATGGCTCCCTATGACACCTCACAAATGCACCGGTGTTTTCACCAGAGAACAGATTCGCACACGTAGGCATCTTCTAATACAGCGCTTGGATGCACACACGTACATGTACACATTCCATACATCAATACCTGGAGTCCGCTGCCCACGGCAGGCACGTGCACAACACCAACACACAGATGCTCACCAGAGGCCACAGATTCTTGCACACCCATGGGCACACATGACACCACGTTGTCCACGTCACCCCCTTTCAGCATTATCCCACGCAGGTGGACTCACTCATGGAAATGCTGACAGACACACGTGTTTTTGCATCTTCCAGGTCTCCTTGCTTGCCAGCACAAAACTGGCGTGTGAAGGTGAGGCAAAATGCAGGCCTTTGAGATGAACAAGATGAACACCACACTGATGAACATGTGCAAGCACACATACGCATCTCCCTTGCCTCGTGTTTGCCTTGCTTTCGCTCTCCCTTTTCCTTTGTTTAGCCACTCATGGTGGTTCTTCTGTGCCCCTGAAGCACAGGGCATATGGTTTAGAGGTCAGTTTAGGATGATGGTTCCCTTTTCCACTAGTGGCTCTCTTCAGCTGCTTAGCTCAATACTAACTATCTCAGAGATGAAGATCTTGTGTATCCACACAAGATACCTCTGTGTTACCTCTCAACACCTATTAGAAATCCCGAGTCCAAAAGCCTCTTTAGATTGCCCTCATGACTGTACTTTAACCCAAGTAGCACTTCAGGCCATGGTAACTTTTCCAGGTTTGGCAGCATCTGTTAGCTTTGACAAAACGAGGCAGCTCCATCTCTACTCTGCTCCGTCCATGTGCCTTTCTGAGGCCCAAAAGACTCTCCCACTTGTCCCCTTTCATCCTGCATTATTCATCCTCTGTAATGCACAATGGATGTTTGTGGGAAGAGGCATGCAGGTACAACTGAGCACAGTGCTGAGGAACAGACGTTCCCAGCAAGCTGAAATTGCCTGGGTGCACAGGCCAAGCTTCGCTGAGAGAAAGGAAGTTTTTACTCCTTCAAAGCTCTTCTGAAAAGTGAGCGGTGGTGGCAGTGGTGGAGGTAGAGGGGAAGAGGGGGTGGTTTGGAGGGGTTGAGGTGGTGGCGGGGGCTTCCCCACAGGTTTCTTCCGGCTCCTCTTGTGCTGCCGCACGAACCCACGTGCGGTGCGTGCATGGGAGGGTGGGAGGGCTCTGGGGGAAGGTGTGAAGCAGGTGTCTTTGGGGAGCGGAGAGTTTGCATGCCTGAGTAACGGTGAGGAAGGTGTGCTTGCATGCGCCGGGAAGGGGGCTGGGGGGTGTTCGGTGAGGAGCTGTGGAAGCAGGGTGCTGGGGCACGCGGTGCGTGGAAGGGCAGGGAGTTCTTGGGGGAGGCCACTGCAACGTACGCTTCACTGACTTACACTGGGATGTGTCTGTGAGCGCTCCACTTTCCCTTCGTGTGGCTGGGACTAGACCTGACTACAGCCCCTGCATTGCCTGTGTCCAAGGCACCCCCATGCCAGCCCCTTTTATGTCTGTGGGCTCCTCCTTTTGTACCTGTGCCAGTACCCACTGATCCCAGTGCAGCCACAGACCCCTGCACCACATGCCTGCTGTTGCACCCACACCCAGCTGCTCTAACCTCCCCCCCCCCTCCAGAAATCCCATGTTTTCCCACGCCTCCCTCCCTTTCTCGGGGGCACAGAGGTACACACGCTTGCCCTGATGCCGAGCCCTGATCGGTCTCTGTCACCGCTAGCAGTATCACGCTGTGACACCACTGATCTTGTTAAACAAACCTGGCAGAGTGCTCGCTGTGCCATCCCTGGTGCCAGGCCGATCTCCACTCCTTCCCTCACCCCTTCTTTACCCACCTCGCGCATCTCATGGTCTCTCCTGGGGCCTGGGGGGAAGCTGGCGCCTTCCTGGCCAAATCTCTGCTTCCCTTAAGGGTTTATGTACTTCTTCACCACGCTTAGGTTTTGCAGTTGTGCCCCCTGATGCCACCATCAGCTGATTTCAGAGCACTGGGGGCTGGTGGGACCTTGCACTCTTCTTTGCGTGCAAATTATGCACATCTAACACCAGAAGAAAGGAGGAAAGGAGAAGGGATGAGTGTAGATGCCTTTACAGACTTTCTACTCCAGAGACTTTGACTCCAGAAGCTGCAACACGTGTCAGTGGACAGATACACAGACTTTGCTGGGAGATGGTAGAATGGGCAGAACTAGAGAAAGTGCAAAAACAGGGCAGATCTCAGAGATGGAGGCAGTTTAAGCAGAGTGTGTGTGGCAGTAGCAAGTGTGTGTGCAGGTGCTTAGAATAATACTGCTGCCTCCAAAGTGAGTTCCAGCTTCATAACTTTCAGGGATGTAATTTTTTTTTTTTTTTTTCAGTGAGTGATGCTGGCTGTCTGTGCTTCATGTGTAGTTTGTGTTTGTCTGCCTGTGTTGGATGTTGATGAGTATTTGTGTTTTCCATGTGACAGAATATGGCTGGTGTTTGATGATGCTGGGGCTAGCGTTTAGGATCCAGAAGGATGGTATGCCACTGTGTGGGCTGAGTTAGGTAGGTAACAGTATCTGATGCGACCAGTTTGTATGCTGCAGGCAGTTTCTAAGCACCATATATTTGTGGGGGGATATGCAGCCAGTGGTGCTTGCTTGGCTTATGTTTCTAAGCATGTGAGGATGTTTTATGTGCTTTTGTTTACTTACAGAGGTGTGCATTGTGATATGATGGTGTGCTGCTTGCACTGATACAGGTGTTTGTGTGCGTGTGTGTACATGTCACTTTTTCTGGTCTTTGCTGTGAATGTGGGCTTATTAAATGATGTGCGTTTGTGCAGTGGTCAGGAGTTTCTGTGCAGTAGGTATGTTCAGATAGTCAGCATGCATTTGTGCAGTGGTCAGTGTTCGCTGTGCAGTATATAAATGTTTTTGCTGTGTAGTCCTATGAGTGGTGGAACAGGCTGGGTGGAGTTGATGTGTGTGTGTTATGGATAGCTGAAATATCGCATAGGTGTGCTAATACAGCTGTGCAGCCTTGTAGGTGCAGGATGTATGTGAAGAAGAGAAGCACCTCACCCTTTGGAGGGACTCTTGAATTTTTAGGGGTTGTATGGAAGGTGGGGGTTATGAAAAGGCCGGCGAGTGTGTGTGCTCGTGTGTGTGCCTGTGTAGCCGTGTGAGTGTGAACAGGATTTTTGCAGGGGGGTGTGCCCAGGTGATGTGAGCAGGGCTGGGGGGCGGCGTGTCTGCATGCGTGCGGCCGCACGTGTAGGCACACTTCCCCTTCTCCTGGCGCGGTTCCGTGGGCACCTTACCCCACACTGGGCCAGGTGCTGCCTCCTTTTTGTGTGCAGTGGGACAGCTGGGCTCTTAGGATACAGGCCATCCTCTTTACATCCTTTACATCTCTTTCCATCCGTCTGTCTGTCTGCTCTGCTGCCCGTGTCCAGCTGTCTGTTCACATAATCACCGATGTGCCCTGACTAGCTCACACCCCGCACTGCCTGCGGACTCCGCAGCTGTGCATCTCTCCGTCCCTCCCACACACACACATTCACACACACACACACACCCCCACCCCCTGGATCTTCATCTGTGGTATATTCAGTTGCTATTGGAAACCTAAGAAAGAAGTGAATCTACCCTCCAAGTCTTAAGCTGGTGTGTTTTTTTTTTTTTTCCTCTTTTTTTTTTTTTTTTTTTTTTCCCTCCCCTTTCCTCCTCTCCTCACAGAAAGCGAAGTCGTTCGCAATGAATCCATGGCATCTTCGATCGAGCGGTGAGCTGGAGCACCTACTCACAGGCCACTCCTTGATGTGACTGAAGAGAGGCCTTTCCCAGCACTCACCGAGGAGAACGGAGCCCTGGATTTACCTCCCGCACACCCAGGCACCCCCAGCACGGGCACCGCGAGGTAAGCCAACCTCGGCACCTATGTCTGTGTGCCTCTCTCCATCCCTCCCTCCCTCTTGTTCCTTGTTCCCCAGAGACGCGAGCGAGGGGAAAGGCAGGGGTTTCTGCTACGCTGTGAACAAAATCTGGGCTTTCATCAGCCCCCCCCCCCCGCACGTAATGGAGAGCTGCTCCCTCCTCTCTGACCCCCTTCCCTTGCAGCTCTGCATGCGTGTGCAGGGAGGGGATGTTTGCAGAGCAGCAGGGGAAGCGCTGCAGGTCCCCTGCGCGCAGTCCCGAGTGCGTCTCCCTCCTTTCCCATCCCTCCCTGGGCACACACCTGTCTGCTCTTCTCCCCGCGGCGTTTTCCTCCCCCCTTTCCCCGTTTCTTGGGAGGGGAGGCAGCCGGGCTGACGCTGCAGCCACGGATCCGCAGGCTGGTTTGGCCAGCAGCACGGCTGGGCTCGGTGGCCCTGGCCTGGCTCCTCCCGGGGGTGCAGCTTGAACCAGAGCAGGAGTGGGCATCGTGCTACCCAGAGTGGGGCATGCCGGGGGGGGGGGGAGGTCCCCCTCCCTCCTCGTCTCACAGATATTTTGGGTATCCCGATTCGCCACGGAAGGTGCTGGCCTCCATTTCCTAGCCAGGTACCTCCTCTGAATATCCAGCCCAGTCGCTGCTTCTCTGCTGTCCCCTGGTGCTCCTGCCCGGCTGGAAGGGAGGTTTTCCTGCCGGAGACAGTGTGTTTCGTAAGCTGGGAACACCATGTGCCCCGCACAAGCGGTGAAGGGGGCCCTGTGCTGAGCCTGACCCATTTTGGGGCGCAAAGCTCTTGGGAGGACCTGAAAGGGCCTCCCGCTGCCTGGGGCTGCCCTCGGTGCCCCTTTTCCCAGCTCCTCCGCAGGGAAGGCAGGAAGATCAGCCGCACTATTTCCTATGCCATGTCTCTGTGCTGCTGGAGCTGCTGCTGCGGCGCGGGGATGGGAGGGGAGCGGGGAGCAGCTGTTTCTCCCATCGCCTGAGCAGGCCCGGACGCGCTGCCGGCCCTCGAGGAGCACGGACGTGCCGGGAAGCGCTTTTCCCCAGAACAAGACCCTAAAGCAACGAGCTGCAGGCAAGGCAGCGAGCAGAGGGCGACCTCGGAGGAGCGCGTTTTGGAAGGGAGGTTTGGGGGATTCGCACCTGCCAGGCTGTGGCTTCAGGCTCTGCACAGTCTCTGTCAGGCGCCAGGGTTTTCTGAATCGGATTTTGGGGCTGCTGTGTTTCATCGAGGGGAAGGGGCTGGCGGGGGCTGTGTTGCTGCGCAGCCCTGGCAGCGGTGCTGTTGGGGTGTCCCCCGGAGGAGGTGATGGGTTGCTCCCCTCCTGCCCAGGTCCCACCTGGTGATGCCAGCGAGGAGGGGGCATCTTCCCGTACATGTCCCTGCTGCCACTGCGGGACCTCGGCATCAGCCCTCCCTGGCTGCAGTTCCTCAAAGCCCCCTCCCCACCACCTACCCTTCCACCCAAACTGCTGCCTTCATCTTCTGTCTGGTAGCACCAGCTGTTTTTTTTTTTTTTTTTTTTCCCCTTTTGGGGTACACCCGAGGCCTGCTTTTCCCTCTTTCAACAACACCCCTTCCTCACTCCCTCTCCAGCACTTCCCATCCCTCGTGACCCCTTGGTGCACGCCATGCTGAGCAGGAGCAGCTTTGGGAAGCCTCGGGAAGGGCTGATGTCTCCTGGCAGGGTCGTTTCTGGATGCTGCTGCCAGCTGACAATACTGTGAAGTGATCTTTTCCCCCGTGGTTCACACCACTCAGCACGCGCACGCGTGTGTGTGTGTGTTGTGGGTGACAGAGTGACTGTAGCGTTGTTGACGTGTCATTCTTCCTCTGGGCTGGGGCCTGGCAGGGAGTGTGACCATGCAGTCGCATTTGGTTTTGTTCCTGGGGAGTTTGCAGAAGGTAAGCTCTTTCCGGATGGAGGCTCTGAAGCCATTTGGCATTGGTGAAATTCCTCAGCCCTCTCAGGACATGGCTTTGGCACTGGCTCAGGGTGGACAAGGCAATAAATCCAACTCTAGGGAGCTTGGTACTGGGTCAAAACTGCTGTGGCTACATGTCAGAAAATGCTGATCCTGTATGGACTCACTCTGCTGCTTCAGATTTGTTTAGAAAACAATGTTGGCTTAACTCTGTACTGGCAAGGTTTATGTTGCGTTGGGTATTATCTGTCTGCACAACTCTGGCTTGACGCTGGCTCGAGTGATGTTTGTCCTTCCACATCTGGCACACACTCCGGATCGTGTGTGCTCTGGCTAATTCAACAGATGCAACTGCATGCCGCAGCCAGCCTGGTTCAGTCCCTCCTGTCAGGCAAGACGGTTTGAAAGAGGGTTGAATTACAGTCTTAGCGGGGAGTGAGCCATGTCCCACACCAGGCAGCTGCCCTCCCCTTTCAGGATTTACAACAGTCCTGGTCTCCCAGGTGCCTTGAGAAGTGATGCACGGTGAGGCAGAAACCCAGCTGCCTGTAGCTCCATCGCTCCTAGCACCACCCCGGGTCCAAGAAGATCCTAGAGAGTCAAGTATGTCCTCTGGCTGGTGGCCACATCTCTGCCTGTCTCTCCCCAGGGGCTTTTGCACAGTGTCTTGCCTGCTGCCCTGGAGAGAGTTTGTGCGGGGACGAGGCGGTGACGCCGGCTGGGAGGAGGGTGGGCGTTGTGCTGAAGAGGAAGGGGAGGGAAGGGGTGTCTCAGCATGAGGATGTTGCCTTCCAGCCCTGACCGCCCCACAGCCCCACGGTCAGTGCACAGGGCCTGGGAGGGGTGTTATTGTTCCTCATAGGATCATGTCGGCAGATAATGGGGTTGCACCATGGGCGGGAGCCGAGGCAGGCCCATCAGAGGCAGGTGCTCACCTGGGACAGAGTACGACTACAAGCCCTTACTGTTATGCGGCAGGGACTTTTTCCAAATCTGTCACTCGGGTGCTTGTGTTGCTGAGGGAGGTAGTTCTGTTTGTGGTGGAGGGGAAAGGGCGGGAAGGTGGTGAGGGGTGGTTCGCCTCATGCTGGTGTGTGGATGCGTGCAAGTCTCTGGTGACAAGGAGGAGCATTTTCTGACCAGGTTTTGCAAAAACTGAAGCTAGCTTTACTTTAAAGCCCAGCAAGATGAACTTTGGGGGGCTGAAGCCAAGAGATGGCCCTGACTCTAAAACCTTGTTGCTAAGGTCTCCTGAATCATAATCCCAGCGAGGTCTCTCACTGGTCACCATGCCGTGCCTCAGTTTCCCCTACCTTTACATGGGACAGGCGGTAGCCACAAACACTGGGGGAGAGGAGGTGGATGGGGAAGAGGGAGGTGAAGGCATGCTTACCTTTAGTACTGTGCTTCAGGCTGCATAGGGGGATGCTCTGGGGAAAGGGAGGTGCAGCCTGTGGACTCCGCTGGCACGGCTGCATGCTGACCTTTGCAGGGGGCTGGGTGATGGAGGAGAATCTATAATGACCGGGGTGCTGTGTGCCAGGGCCGAGACAGTGATTCACTCAAGCCTCTGTTTGTTTGGGAAGAGAAAGGGAGTTTGTGGTTTGTCACTTGGGAAACAGAGTGGGGATTCAGAGGCGGAGGGCAGGCTCCTCGGCTGGGCCTCCCCGAGCAGCCACGCCGCGTGTCTCTGTGTGTGTCAGGGGAGCAAAGGGGACCCTGGTACAGGCCATGACTGGCAGCTGGCCATCCCCGGCCCCTGCCACTTCACCTCCCCCTTGCACCCTCTGCACAGCCACTGGCCAAGGACAGCCCTGAGAGGCACATGCATGACAGACCTGTACACGTGAGGAGAGGGGGAGGACTAAAAGCCTTGCTAGAAGAGCAGCTGGATGGGATTCATGCTACCTCCCTGCCCGGCTTATCCCGCACGTGGTAGCACAGCATCTGTGCGGGTGTCCGTGCAGCTTCATCCCAACCCAAGCAGGCACCTCCATCAGCGTTGTGCCTGGGGTGTGGGGCCAGGTCTCAGGCTGGGCAGTCCTGCTGGGCTAGCCTGGGGGATGAAGAAGACCTCTTCCTCCTCTGAGCTCCTCCCTTGTCTCATCCTTGCTGTGCTTCTTCAGGTGTGAGCCCTGCCTCGTTTCTTGAAGGTGGAGACCTGCAGGCAGTGGAGGGAGGTGTCGTGTAGGGAAAGGGGATTGCGAGGTGCGTGGGGGTATGGAGGTGATGAAGACACTAAGAAAGAGGGAAAACCTGAGAGAAAAATGACAGAAGCAGCAAAGGAAGAACAAGGCAGGAAGAGAGCGGCATGTCCCTGCAGTGACAATGTGGTGTGGAAGTCTCTTATGTAGATATTACAGGCCACAGCTCAACCTGACCATGTTTGTACTGGGCACAGATTTGGTCTGAAAAGCTGTGGCAGGAGGAACAGCTCTGCACAGGGGACTGCTCATCTCCCATCCACCTCCTTAACCCAGGGAATACCTAGCCTGAGATTCCCTTCTCCTCCTCTGAGCTGTCTTCTCCTGTGCACGTTCCTCTGCTCCCAATACGGAGGAGAGAGCATGGCTGAGAAACCCTTCCCCTTGTCCCCTGTCCTTCTGTCCCTGGCCTTGTGGAGCCAGAGGAGGTGAGTGTGCTGCCTAGCACTCCTGGGAGTTGCCTTGCTCCGTAGTGGAGGGATGTTGGTGAGGTCTTAGGGGGGAGTCACAGACTTGCCTTTAAATTGCTCCCTAGAAATACTTATGGCCAAATTACCTCACATAGGCAATGTCTGCAGGGAATTAGTTCACCACGCTACGAGGCAGAATTTTATCTACAAATGCCCTATCAACATGTCCCATGAGAACACAATAGCAGCAATTAGATAAGAGGGATTTATGGAAGTTAGTTTCTCTTCTTCTTTTATGAAATATACTTGAGTGTGTATCCGTCAGATAAGGTAGGTATGCCAGGTCTGTCATAGCATAGGTAGATTTCATGCAGATGTTCTAAATGTCATTTTTGGTGCCAGTGTGGTAGTTTCCAGAAGCTGGAATGCCAGTGTTGGCTGGCAG